GCCCATCTCATGCATTGGACTCCTCGGACGACGGCTTCATGGTCTTGAAGCCCTGGAAGTATTTCTCGCGAAAATCCCGGTCTGTAAAGAAGATGTGAGAGGAAGTGAGAACGGATGTCAAAGCCAATTGCGCGGGGAGACGTACGTACCCTCCGTCCCCATGCACCGAAATCCTGCACCGAGTTCGCGACCACTTCCATCCCGTCGCAGAGCATGCTGTCCAAATCTAGCTCCTTGTATTCGTCTATCACGGTTGGAAGGAAGAAGACCAGGCGCCCGCCGAGATTCCTCGCAAGGAGACCGAGGTCGGCCGCGAGGGCGGAGAGCTCGTACGGCTTGGTCGGTGTGTCATCCCTGGAAAGGATGTCTTAGCTGCTTACAAATGGGAATACTCACGCGCCGGGTTGCTGCGCAGCACGTTCCCTTTTCCGGCCAAGACTCTTTGCGCCTGCTCTGACGCCATCTGGGCGGTCATCGGCCTCATATGGTGTTCACACTGTGACCGTGACCAAGGCTAGCGCTAGGGAGGATCGGTGATAATCGCGTCGAAGAGGTCGAAGGTGCACAAAGTCAAAAATCCGTTCTTGAACTCCATATTGAGTCGCAGCGCGCAATATGCCCGGGTTTGTCTCTATAACCAGTGGTGAGCGTCAATGACTTCGCATTGTCGCGCCTTTGGGATAGAATGGTTGTAGCCGTTCGCAACGAATTTGAACGATGTTTCCGGGATATATGCATCTGTGTGCGAGGAACCTGGGGTGCTCATCCTGATCCAATGTAAGGACACCAAATGGTCGCGACTTGTCGAAATCGTGTGGTATAGTCAACGGAAAGCCATAAAGTTCGGCGATAGATCGCAGTTCTGGGACGCAGAAGTCCTCGTGGGTTTGTGCAAAGACAACAAGATATTGTCGTGGTGGCACCAGTCTGGAGAGTAGTCACATGTCACATGTCTTCCCTCTGCCATGACCCACTTCGCCCGCAATGTCGAGAGTGGACATTTACAGCGTACTACACACAATATTGGAGACAATTGGACCCGGAAACCGTATCGTCTTCTTCTTTCACGCTGTTGTATGACTGAATGCACAATATAGTCTCTGACGAAGCCGTGGAAAAACTGGGCGTTCTGTTCTCTGACCAACTCCTGCTTGCCGCCCTCGATCTCATTGATAGGGACTGTGGTAAGTGCCTATCCTCTTCCCCTTTACGAAATGCTGAGATCGTTGTCAGTGATTAAGTACGTTACGCCATGGGGTCGACATCAATTTTCTGTCCTCGGCATGACAGATTCCTATACCGTCTTTCCGAGTCTCCATCGCTCTGGCTCCGTTCCGCACCTCTGCACGTGCCCGGCCTTTGCGTACGCCGTGCTGATATCGCAGTCCCAGATGGCGGTACGGTTTCCATCTCTTTTCATTTTTGGTAAAACTGGGAGCATGCCTGGTTGTTTCTAGTGCAAACACGTCCTAGCCACGCTTATCGCGGAACGCCTATCGAAGTGCGTCGTGCGTGAGATGGGAAAAGACGAATTCGTGGCCTTCCTCATGCGACAGAACCCAGACACGTAGGAAAACGTATCGGGGAGGACGGCACTCTTAGTGCAGATTGTAGCGAGCCTGAGGATCCCCTCCAATACCACTGCCAGTATGAACCTCCACGGAACATGAATTCATCGGGTTTTGAACGTTTGAATCGTATTCAACGCCATTTCTCTCTCGACTTTACCTTCTTTGGATCCACTTTCTGCCTCCTTTTGCGGTTCAGAGGTCATGACCTTCTGCTAAACATTTGTCCACTAATTAAGCGGCGCATTTCTTCTCTTCTCGCGCTGTACTCGTATCATGATATTATTTTCCTGTGCTTACTGTATTCATACAGTAAGTTAGATTTTTTTTTCTGAGTCTATATGTAAGGACGAATGACAGGGCGATGTCTATCATAGGCTGAGCTGGGCGCTGAGGCCCACGACACCTGGGCGCGGCATTTCAACCACACCCATATCAGCTGTACCGTACACAGCGCCGGTGCCTTTCGGGGGTGAAGTGGTGGCAAGGCACCAAGGAGAGTCGCGGCGCTATACGTTTCCGAAAGTACACAAGGATGGGGACACACAGAAGTACTTTAGGCTACTAGCTCGTGTGTTCCTGCGCACGGCGTTGGTCAGAGCGCGAGTTGGGGCAGTGACAGTCGCACTGTCAAGAAGTCGCGTAGCATAGAATTGATCCGTAACGTCGATATTGGAGTGCTAGAGCTGCGCCACTGGGAGAAAGCTCGATTGAGTTTTGCCGCCAAAACCTTTGCTCTCTTACTATAGGCATCGCCGGACATGTCTTGCTGAACTCAACAACCTCGCCTCAAATCGTGACATATATTTGTCCTATCTATACTCCCAATCCCCGACCTGGCCTGCGTAGCCTGCACCCGACCAGGTTGCATTGCGGCGTTCCGAGGTTTCTGTGCGTGCTGATCGCGCCGAGGGCTTGCATGTCTGGCACATTGTTGCGGCGGCATTGTCACGGTTGCGTGTTCAGGTTCTATTAGCTACTTCCGGCTCTCCTCGGCGCCGTGCGCAGGACCACATGAGCTTGTAGGTCTGAAATAGCTCTTCCCCATCCTTGTGTACTTCCGGAAACGTATAGCGCCGCGATACCCCCCCTCCCCAATGGTGCCGTGCCACCACTTCACCCCCAAAAGGCACCGGCGCTGTATCGGGAATTAGAAGCGCTTCGTTCCGAGTCTCCTCCGTCATACAATCCTGGCGTGCCCATGTATTCCGAGTTCGAATGCCGAGGAGTTGGTATCGCGGAACAGCATTTTCCTAGCACGAGCTCAGAGAGATCGATGACACTCCTTTCTCAGGTCTAGTTGTTAGGGAGTTACTTAGATTTGGACCTTTTCACCATGCGAACACGAACCCCCATCTCTCCGCCGTTTTCTTCTATCTTACTGGTCCGCCCATTCGCAGCACTGACCCCGCCACACACTATGGTCCGACTGGCATGACTCCACCACCGTCATTGCAGAAATGAGTTTGTTCATTCTTCAGACACCTGAGGTTTAGTGTCTTACCCTTATTGAGCGACAGCCGCTCTCATAAGGACTCGTCCATGTCATTGGCGGCATTTACATGTGAGTCCATGTCATTTTCACATTTCATTATTCAAAGCGCTATAACCTACGCACTAGCTGGGAGATTATCTTGTGTCTCGGCTTTGAGTATTCTGTCATTACGAAGAAGCGCAAGTTTACATGGCCGTTCCTTGTGCGTAGTCCGTTTCAACTTGGATACCGTATGGAGAAGACAGTGAAGTGTGACGTGCGCGATAGCTGTACCTGGGGTGTCGTTGGTGTCCCCTGTTTTCCATTATGTTCCAATTTCTGGCCCTTGACGTGTCACACAAGATCGATTGCCAGGTACGAAAAATTGAACTGACCAGATGAGCAAAGGTACTGAGTGTCCACCTAGGCATGTATCGTCTTGGCCTTCGTAAGATGTCGTGCTATCCCCCGGAATGCCATTTTCTTGACCGGCTATGGATTCCGCAGATTTCCGCATATATTTCGTTTATGTGCGCATCGGCATTGATCGTCCTGCGTGTGTAAGCACAACCTGTTTTATCGCCGCATCTGTATGCCTCCGAGTTGAGAATGCCCTCAGCGCCATACTCTGGGACCACAACAAGATCATCATTGCATTCGCCTGTGCCGTGTGGATTGGCAATACTGCCATATGCGCCTACAGTATGTCTGTCTGGCTTCTGGTTCGGTTGGTCGTCATAAGTACTACACGATCTTGATCATTTCTTAGGCCTGACCACACTCCGCTCATCCTGGGTTGGATTGTGCTCAATTTTAAATCCTGATGCTGTCAAAATCAGCATCCTCTCCACCTTCACCACAGATTTAATACTCCTCGTCCTCATGCTGACCGGCCTCAAACGCTGGAATCACGCACCGAAGACACGTGGCGTCTGGCAGCTCCTTTGGACTCAGGTGACCCATCGCCGCCCTCTCCTCATGGATCCCGTTGACGCCAACCATAGGGTTTAGTGTGTGTTATGGTCGTCGCGCTTGCTGAAGTCCCCCCTGCTGTACGTCTATCTTAGAATTGTAAGCAGGCTTAGTAAGTCGCTGACAGTTGGCCTATCTAGGTTTTCATCATTCTGAATCTAAACAGTACGTGGTTCTCTTCCTTACCAATGCCCTGACCAAGAGGGACTGAACGCAAGACTGAATGTTTAGATCCTTTGAACCTGGTGCGTTTGCTTTACGAAAGAAAGAGGGATGCCGAACCTGACATACTAGCGCTGAAGTTCTTTCAACCTCTTGGGCGTAAGCACCCCGCTAGTACATTGCGTTCACTTTCCTTGACTGTTATATCTCGTACTCAAGTGATAATCACGCCGCTTGGCGCCGCACGTTTATACCGCGGACTCATCAACTACTCCGTCTCCAATGGTTTGGCCATGGCGGTCAATGAGCACCACGGCGAACCTTTCTCTCCCTTTTCGCACCAGGCGTACCGAACAGCGCAACACGATGCAGAAGGTGGATCGGCCATTCCGGACAGCCTGCCAGTCAAGACGTCCGGCTCGGAAGTCGCCAGGGGGGAGACGTTTGAGGGTAGCACCGTCGTCTGATATCATCTTATGCGGCGGTAATGGTGGCATTGATTGCGACTTTATAAGAGTGTCCGCTATAAATCTGCATTGGGTAACATACAGGACGAGTGTATGTGTGTCAGGAGTTGGTTCGATGAACTTTGATCTTCACTTAGTTAATCGCTAGAAACCGGTCCATCTCGACCATTTTCATGTATCGTTGCAATGCAATATGGACACACGTGATGCAGAAGAATACCCCGATACAGTGGTATATCAGATTGGTAATCTGTCACGTGACCTGGTGTGTGCTGCTCTGTTAGATCATCTGGTTGGCCCTATGGCCGGCACCAGTATGGGTCAAGTATTACCATCTGGCTCAGTAACTCATGGCTAGGTAGCTCAGTTGGTAGAGCGCCTGGTATATATCCAGTAGGCCTGGGTTCAAACCCTAAGTACCATTTGTAACAAATGGTACGATGACCGAATTGACCGAGTTGACTGAGTGACCAAAGGCCGTGTACTATAGGATGCCAGTATAGGGGACATGGATGCTAAGACATGGATGCTAAGGGCCTGTCCGGTAAACGCTTTCTCGCACGAGACATGGGCCAAGCCGGAAACAATGTTTTAATTAATTAAGAATGAGAATGTGACGCGTTCGGCAAACCTTGTGTCACGAGAGACCGAGAAATGAGAATGGGATTCTCCCTGCCAACCAGAAAAAGAGGTCTGACCTCTTTTTCTTTTCACTGTCTCTGTGTCGAGAGTGACTGTGACCATACGGGTTACAATATTAGCACTTACATAACGCGTACGCTCAGAGATCTCAGAATCACACTGGACAAGGATAAACAATAGGGCAACAAAATATTCAGTAATAAACATACACCGTGCTAAGTGTGAGTAGGGGAATCAGCCAACAACATCCCATCGCCTTCTGTTGTTGTGGTTGTGGTCGGCGAGGTTGTCGGTGATACCCTAAACCGCTAGGAAACAGTTGATGGTGCGTGCAGGATTTGGGGGGGTGTGAAACATCGCGCAGGCCTCCGCGGAGCGCGAGGTGTCATATATGGGTCCGCAGCGATTGTGGACGCGTCTGTGTCGAAGGGCGAGAGCCGCGCGCAAGTGCAGCGGCGTCGGGAGAAGGAACGGGTCTGTTGGTCGCAGGTGGTCGAAAACGGTCGCGCACGCTTCGGCGCGGCGCGAAACTTCGTATGAGTGGCCGCCAGGGTCGGGAACGCGTCGGGTTCAAGTCGCTAAGGCCGCGCGCAAGTGCGGCATGCTGGGGAATGCAACTTACGCAAGGGAGTGAGCTACACAGTGACGTGGTCATTGTCACCATGGCATTGTCATCACCGGCCTGCTACCATCTCCATAGTGGCCCCCGTTGTCATTGTTTGTGGCTTGCGTCATGGTGGGACTCGTGCACCGTGAGTTGATGTTGCACGCATGTTGTGATGGGGTCGTGACGGGTTTCGCGCCATGATAGGGTGGTGGTGGGGGCGGACTCCAGTGTGGCAAAGGGTAGATGCAATGGCCATGGGCTTGCGTGCTGCGAGGGGGAGGGAGTGCCTCTGAACTTGAGAAGTGCGACGTGGGGTCATAACGAGGTAACACTTTGTCATGTAACGACACGATTCAAAACAATGTTTTTATATTTTTTTTGTGAATGCGTTCGGAGGTCACAGTTAATCAAAACAATGTTTCGCTGCAGTCTCTGTTTCCCACCCGGGAAACAGAGGGTCCACTGAAACATTGTTTCAGGGCCCACCCGCGCCGGACAGGCCCTAAGACATGGAACGATGCGACTCGGCCACAACAGCACAGCCGACTTAAAGCAATGGCAGATTAGAGGATCTAGTCTCGTGTGAAGATAGTCTAAATTATATCCATATATTGACGAACACCGAGCTGGACGGAAGGTGTCCTGGTGTCCATGGCCAACTCTTGAAGAACACTATACTTGCAAGCCAGCGCCATGAAACGAATCATCACGAGTGCGTTACTGTATATCGCTATCAGATCCCACATACCCATTGACAGTACCACCTCGATGACAAACGACCTGCGAACTTTTTTTTGTCAAAACCGAGAGCCATCGAGCTTCCGGTCCGAGTTACGTGCGCCAAGCACCTATCTCCTTGCCTATCTCAGGCAGATAGGGCCGCCGTAAGATCACGCGAGTACGAGAAGGAGTATACGAGCAACCACTCGAAGACGAGTAGTATGAAGGCAGAGAGGAAGAGAGTCGATATGCCAACCACGAAGAGCACGGAGGAATTTCTTGAACAGGGTAGGTAGGGATAGGTTCAAGGATAGGTTGCACATTCTAAAGCGATTTCAATGCCCGTGTGCTGAGCCGCAAGGGACGGGGATCAGCGAAAGAATGCGCGGTGAGACGTGGACAAAGACGGGAGATATAGCCTCAGTCCACAAGTACTTACCGACGACACGTCCATAGCCCCGACGCTCGTGTGAGCACTCAGAGTTGCACCTGATAAGAGCGTAATGGAACCGGGCGCATTGCAATACAGTAGAATGGATAAGTTGAAACGACGAGCCATGACTCGGAGTGTCCGAGTGTCCGTTTCCGGGTTTGCACTACGTATATACCGGACTTGGTAATGTTGGCACGCTTCTCAGAAATGGGGGATTGTCGAAAAGTTCCAGGTCAGTACCGTGAAAAGATTATAAGAAGTTCCCACCTCGCGACGCGTACTGTGTCACCGGGGTTTAGAGCATCGAGAGTCTGAGGAGGGGTTGGCTTCAAGTTGCTGTGCCGGAAAAACCGGATGACGGAATTTGAAACTTTGAACGTCTCACTTCTGCCTCCTGTAACTTGGGAGATATATTCATGTCCTTACTGCGCTTCGGATGTTTCGCACGTTTCGTATGATGTTTTGCATGTTTCGAACGCTTTTCGCTTTCGGTCGTGGGCGTCCCTTGTAGTGGTCTCACACAATTCCGACTCGCCCCCTCGCGTTCCCCAGCGTGCCGCACCCTCG